CGTGCGAGCTGGGAACCCGGGCCCTGAGGCGGCCGCCGTGGGAACTCTGAACTCCCCACACACGGGGCGTCCCGGCGTGGCTGTCAGGGTTTGTGCTTCTGTGTATGCCCTTTTCCTTGTCCGACATCCTCCCTGTCAGGGTTTGTGCTTCTGTGTATGCCCTTTTCCTTGTCCGACATGTGGCCAACTGGGTGCAAAAGCAACTATAAAACAAAAAACAAAAACATGCCGCCTGCACCCCTCGGTGGGCCAGCCTCCCGGCGCCTGATTGACAGTCCTTCACCCCACGCGTGTTTCACAGCATCGCACACGGGGCCACCGCCGAGCTCGGGAACGTGTCTTCCCCCCGCAGCCCTCCCTGGTAGCACACATGCATTGGAAGGAGCGAGTGACCCTCCACGGTCATCGGTGGTGGGTGTGACTGTTCTCTCGGGGCCGCTCTTGACATACACCGGACAAACAGGAAGCCGAGGCCAAGAAGCCTCTGTCATTTAAAGTGGCTTAAAATCGCACCAATATCGACTCAACATTGACGTGCAGGCCCCAGGCGGAGCCCTGTGCAGTGGGGCTGCGGCTCCGGGGCCGGCCGTGCGGGAGGACAGAGGCGGTGACCTCGGAGGAAGCCGAGTGGGGACCGAGGGTGGAGGAGGGCCGGATCCATATGGACGGGAAAGGGAGGGACGAGGAGGGGAAACGCACGCACACGGCCTCAGTGCGTGCTGCAGACCTTCCCACGTCGCGGAGGGAGCCTGCCTCCCGTCCCCGCGGCTCTCCAGGCCACAGGGCCCTGGCTCCGCCTCCAGCCAGCGCTCACGCCTCAGGAGGTGTGTGCTGTCCCCGAGGCCTGGCCCGGGCCGAGAGCACGTCCCGGCTTTGGAGCATGGCGGCTGGAGGGGGGACGATCGGTTATCACGTGTTTGACCCGGTCAGGGCACGTGCACGAGGCAGCCATCTCCCGGCCGCGTGGCTCAGGGGCTGAGCATCGACCTGGGAACCAGGAGGTCAAGGTTCCATTCCCAGGCAGGGCACATGCTGGGTTATGGGCTCCATCGCCAGTAGGGGGCGCGCAGGAGGCAGCCGATCCATGATTCTCTCTCAATTTGGATGTTTCTCGCTCGCTCTCTCCCTCTCCCTTCCTCTCTGACATCAATATAAACACATGTATTTTTTAGAATAGAAGCAGCCACCTGAGTTGCTCAGATCGGGGTGAGTCTCTGTCCTCCGTCCTTCTGTCCCCGGGAGGCAGTTAAACCGGGCAGAGGCATTCCTCACGGACACAAAGCAGCACACGGGAAACCGCCACGGAGCGCTGGCTCATCACCTTCCCAGTTAATCTTTAAAATCAGCTGGTGCCGCAGGCGCCGAAGACGGGCCAGAGGCGGGGCTCGCGGGCGGAACTGCCTATTGCGCCGTTTGTGGTGACAGCAGCACGACTGAGGGTCAGGGCCCAGGCGCCGCCACGCCGAACGCAGGAGGGGATGTGGGCATGGCCACCCTCCTCCTCGGCCTCAACACAACACCGGCTGCTGGCTAAGATGCCAAACAACACCGGCTGCTGGTTAAGATGCCAACACCGACTGCTGGTTAAGATGCCAACAACACCGACTGCTGGTTAAGATGCCAAACACATTCTCAGAAGCTCACCACAGTCTCAAACCCACACACTGAGCCAGCACTTATGGGACATGCCGGACCCGTAACACTCAGGCAAAGAGCAGATCGGCGGCTGCCAGGGGCTGGGCTGGGGGAGGCGGGGGGCTGGGTATAAAGGGCTCAACAAACTTTCTGGGCAGTAGGACACCTACATCGTCACTCGGTTCTGACTACAGGACTGCACACATTTGTCAAAACAAAAAGAACTGTGCACTTAGAAATGTATGAACATCAATGTATGTGAATGATACCTATACAGGCTGACTTTTTGTTTGTTAATCCTCACCGGAGGGTGTTTTTCCATTGCTTTTCATAGAGGGTGGAAGGGAGGGAGGAGGGGGAGAGTTGGGGGAAAAGAGAGAGAAACATCAATGTGAGAGAGAGACACCAACTGGCTGTCTCCCGCCGGGCCCCTGGATCCCAGCATCTGACGAGAGAGGACCGTCTGAGGCATGCGGGACCCTGGCATTACTCTTCTGAAACACTGGAGCTTGTCAGTGTGCGTTCTGGGAGCTGTCTCAAAGTCCTTACTGGATGAAGGAGCAATGTAAATTAAACACACAGAGAGGAAATGGAACAGCTTCTCCATTTGGGATGTGATTGAAGGAGGAGATACAATGGTCCTAGCCAGTGTGGCCCAGTGGATAGAGCGTTGGCCTGCAGATCAAAGGGTCTCAGGTTCCATTCCAGTCCAGGGCACGAAACAACTAAAATTTGTGCAAGGGGCTTGGTCCTTGCAGCTGTAGCAGCTTGCCTCGGCCCCGGCTTCATCTGGAAGGTCGTCTGGAAGGATGCTTGGTCTAATTAGCATATTATGCTTTTATTATTATAGACTGTGGTTGGCAGAAGACCCAGATGGCCCCCAAGATTCTCACCCCTTGGTGCCCTTGTCCTAGATGTTCTAGCTCCTTGGAGTGCGAGCAGAACTGGTCAACATGATGGACTGTCAATTCCACAATTAAACTATGTTATCTGGCTCGGGAGTTTGTAGATGTCATTAAGGTTGCTAATCACTTGATGTTGAGTCACTCAAAAGGGAGGCTGTCCCAGGTGGGCCTGCCCTAATCAGGTGTGTCTTTAAGAAGGAGTCAGACTGACTCAAGCAGCAGAGACGACCCTGCTTTGAAAAAGCAGCCCGGCCTGCCTGGCTCCATGGTTGAGCATCAGCCTGTGAACCAGGAAATCACAGTTTGATTCCCGATCAGGGTGCATGCCAGGGTTGCAGGCTTCATAGGGGGGTTGCTGGAGGCAGCTGAGCAATGATTCTCTCTCATCATCTCTCTCTCCCTCTTTCTAAAATCAATAAAAATCTATTTAAAAAGAAAAAGCAAACAGATGCAATATAAACTGCCTGGGGCTGCACTCACGTGGCAAGGCCCTGTGGAGCTGAGTGCTGGCTGACAGGCACCCAGGACGTGGGAATTGTGTCCTGTGACCACAGGGCCTGCAGAGAGCTTGGGCAGCAAGGGGGGGTGGTGGGGGGACTCACGTGAGACCTAGGACCGGAGGGGGCACGTGGGGAAAGGGCCAGGAGGAAAGGCCCCTGGAGTGCAAGGAGAGAGGAAGCCCGGGGCCCGGGCCTCTCCCACTGGGCTCGGGCACAGTGACGTCCCCTCTGAAGCCCCCTGGGTCCCGGCTGCTCCCCCGCTGCCCACCCCGCAGCGCCAGGCAGGCAGCACAGCCTCCGAGGAGGACAAGACTAACGTGGGTCCTCCTGCGGCTGTCCTGGGCCCCGGGCGCCCGCCTCCCCTCTGGGCCTCCCGGACGGTTCTCTTTGGAGACCGGGCTCAAGTGCCCGACACGGCTGCGGCGATGAATGGGGCCATTCAGGGATCCTCCAGCCCCATCCCTCCGTGCCAGCCCCGCCTCCCGCTGGCCTGCACTCGCACCCGGCCCTGGCACGGCCCTCTCCGCCCTGCCTCCCGCCCGTGACCTTCACCCAGGCCGCGTTACCACGGGCGCACACGTCCTTCTGCCCAGGACTGAGCTCCCCGCAGCGAGCCCGCACGGTAGTGGTCGGGCCCCACCTGCTGGCTAGTGACGTGGCAAGAACCACGCCTCTGGCTTCTTTCCACCATGTTCTGACTGCACACCTTCGGCCCTGGCTCCCCGGGCCACGGACCACGTCCCCCGACCTGAGCGGACGACAGCACGGCCGTGCCTCCCCCCTCGCCATGAGCGTGGAAAGTCGCCGTCCCGGCTCGGCCCAGGAGCCGGCCCCGCGCCCGGCCCGGCGGGCTCTCCGGTTGCCCTCAGGAAGGAAGCCAGCGCGGGAACAAAAGGCCGGGGCAGGTGCCAGCACTCGGGCCCCCGATAGAGCGTCGATAGGCGGAAAGGTCCCCGTCCCATAAGACTGGAGCGATTCGCAGGCTGCGTGCTTCCGAAGGGACGGGAGGGAGCGCACGGGAGTCAGTTACACGCCATTCATTATGCATCCGGCGAGCGGAGCGGTCAGGTTTCCTGCGTGTTTACTGCAGGACGACAGCGGCCGAGGGCTCGTCACGGCTGCGGAATGCAAATGGGCTCCGGGGGAGTCTGTGTCCCTCATTCCCACATTCCAAATCCCCCGGAGGGAGCCTCTGCCTCTGCCTGAAACCTGGAGCTCCCCTCAGACATAAAGCACCTGCTCACTGACTGAATCTGTCCTATTTTACTCCGGCCGGGCCCTGCTGGTCCTGCTGCCGCCCACATCCGGAAACAGAAAGGAGTTTGTTTTTAAAGGCAGGTGATGGCACATGTATAGCTCCCAGAATACACCGAGTGGCCCGATGATGAGGAGGATCTCTGAACGCATAATAATCTATGCAAATTGTCCCCTCGGCCAGGCGTTCGACCAGCAGGCAGGCCGGCCAACCGCCCATGTCCCCTCCCCCTGGCCAGGCTGGCCGGACCCCACCCATGCACGAATTCATGCACCGTGCTTATTATATATTTATACACATACACATACATACACTGAGTGGCCAGATGATTATGTGTTCACAGATCATCATAATAGTCTGGCCACTCGGTGCATGTAACTCACAGAAACAGGCTGCGTCACTACATGGGGACACAAAGTGTCCGACTCCTTGGAGCGCTGACTCACATTTGCACACACAGGCATGTGTCATGTGCAAACCCCATCCATTCTGTGTGCTTCTCCCACCCTGACGCTCAAAACCTGAACTGTCTTTTCCAAATGCCTGGGGCGAAACCCCACACAAATGACAACATAATTAGCACAGATGGAGCCTCTAACCTGTCCGTCTGCAGAACACCGCCCCCGTGTCCCCGGACGAGGCCTGTGCCCCCTGCGTGTGCTCCCCCCCCCCCGCCCCCGCCCCGCGCCCGCCCAGGCCCGGTACCTCGCAGCGGCCAGCACTCCTGTCGGCCGGCTTCAGGCCGGGGCACAGGCGGAGGAGGCACACCTTGGCTCTTCTCCGGGAGGGGAGCCAGCTGCTCGTCACGAAATCCATGACCATCACATGGTGCTTCAGCTCAGTGCGGAAGGCCCGGATCTGGAGGGCGCGGCGGGCGGCGGCCCCGGGCGGGCGGGTCCCTGCAGGGACTCCAGGGCGCTGCATGACACGCGTGATCTTGTGACTCCGGCCCTCCGGCCCGGCGGACACAATTTGCTTTGTTCCTCGCGGGCGCTAAGCGCGGCAGGAGGGACCAGGGGAGCGCCCGCCGCCGACCGGACTCGGGGCTTTCCAGCTCCCGGCCCCTGGTCCCCATCCCCAGCTGCCCCGGGGGCAGGGGAGTGCACAGGACGCTCCGGTGACCTTCACGGGCCGTGGAGGGACGCCCGCTCCCACCTGCTGCCCCGGCCGCTGGGATTCTTCTCTGGTTTCAGGCGCATGGCTCCGGCTCCCGGCGCTCACCTCCCGAAGGCACAGTCCGCCCGGCGACCGTGACTGTGACCGTGAGGCTCCGAGCGTCCCGGCTCAGGCCCCCAACCCTGTGAGTGGTTACAGGAGCCGGGCCCAGGAGCCGCCAGTGGCCGTGGCTGCCGCTCACCGCTCCGGCTCTGTCACGCCGGGACCAGCCCAGCTCCGGCCACACAAAGGGTGACCTCAGACGGGCAGATAAGAGGCCCGTTCACGTGACAGAGGACTTGGGTTCTGAGCGGCCGTAGAGAAACAGACCAAGGGAGCGTGCGCCACGGGGCAGAGGTGGCGGCTGGCCGACACAGTCCCCAGCCCTCCCTCCCCCCGCCCCGAGCCTCAGTCTCCCAACACCTGTCTTCCAGGGCGGTGGGGGATGGGGAGCGGATCGGGGACCGGAGGAGGGAGCTAACCAGACGCCCTGGCTGTCTCCAGCCCATAGACGCCCCCCTCTACAAGCAGCTTCCTGATCTTCAGGCAAAGATGTCCCCCCCCCATCCAATATTCCCCTTCCCACAGAGAGGCCCCCGGAATTCCCCCTCCCACAGAGAGGCCCCCCATTATTCTGTTTCCCCATCTGGAAGCCATGGGCAGGTAAATGGAGAAGCGATTGCAAATGACTGTCCTGAGGAGGTCACTGCCCGCAGAGGGACCCACGCCCCGTCATGCAGCGGGCACGGAGCGTGTGCCCCGGGGGAGGGTTGCCACAGATTAGACTCTGAGAAGCCTCCTGGGGGAAGACAGGGTGTCCGGTCATTTGTTTGTTTGTTTGTTACTGATATCAGAGAGGAAGAGGAGATAGAAACATCAATGATGAGAGAGAATCATCATCGATCCGCTGCCTCCTGCACACCCCTCCTGGGGATGGAGCCCACATCCTGGGCCTGTGCCCTGACTGGGAATCGAACCGTGACCTCCTGGCTCAGAGGTCGATGCTCAGCCCCTGAGCCACGCCAGCAGCTTGAAGGGGGCGGGGGCATTTCGCCGTTTCCTTGTATCTCCGTCCACTGTGCTCAGGGGCGACTCCTCCATGAGATCATTACTCTGATGGATAGGTTGAAGCCCCGGTTTTATTTTATCTTGTCCCGGCCTGCCTCTGTCCTATCAATCAAGTCACTCACTCCGCGGAAGCGGCCCTGCTCACAGGGCAGAGCCGGCTCCTCCCGCCGCAGGCAGCCGGCTCTCATCCCTCTTGTGGCAGTCCTTCCCCTGCCCCTGGGATTACACGAGCATCCGCACGCATTAAATTAGAGAAACAGACAGCCTCGTCGGCAGAGCCACGTCTACAGGAAGCAGGGCCGCTGCAGCCTCCTAAGGCCCCGCAGACAAGACGGGGCTGCACGCGGGGTGCCGGGCCGCACCCACCCGCAGCCGTCCTCCCCACCAGCCCCGGCACGGCAAGAGGGTTCGAGTTGGGTCACGCTGGAAACACACAAAAGGACCTGGATTCCCTCTTTCTTTCTTTCTTTCTTTCTTTCTTTCTTTCTTTCTTTCTTTCTTTCTTTCTTTTTCTTTCTTTCTTTCTTTTTCTTTCTTTCTTTCTTCCTTCCTTCCTTCCTTCCTTCCTTCCTTCCTTCCTTCCTTCCTTCCTTCCTTCCTTCCTTCCTTTCTTTCTTTCTTTCTTTCTTTCTTTCTTTCTTTCTTTCTTTTTTAAAATAAACTGATGTTGACGGATTTGCTGCAGTGACTCCCAAACCAATCCTGGGAAGATTGATTGCTTAAAAAGGTCGCTCCAAGTGCAAGTCCTAGCCATGCTTTCTTAAGCAGGTTCCAGTGGGCAGACAGCTGGTCTCTCACAGGAGCGCGCCTTCCATCCATGACCCCGCGGACCACAGGTGATTGGTGAGAGGCAGAGGTTCCCCTCGACTCAGCCGTCTGGCAGCGGCGGTGATATCTCGGGGTGGCCGGTGGCCTGGGCAGAGGAGGCGTTCAGACGGGGAATCCAGCGGTTCCTGCTGGCCGCTGGCTTCTCGGATCCACCCTCGGGCTCCTGAGCCAGTGGCTCCTCGAGTCGTCAGGGTGGGTCTGTCGCTTGCCACCCCAGGAATCCTAACACACGGCCCCTGTTAACCTTCCACCGGGCGTGAGCTCCCCGGCCTTCGCTGCGGGGCCCGCACTCACTCGCTCCACACCAGAGCAGGAAGGAAAAGTTTGCTCTGAAATACACATAAGAACCGATCGGCTGAAAGTGGAACAGAATGTTTGAAATCAGGATGATCTTGCAAATGTGGGCCATAGGGGCCTTTAAAGCTCCTTTTAAGTGGAAAATTATATGCATTTTATTTTATTTTATTTTTAATATATTTTATTGATTTTTCACAGAGAAGAAGAGAGAGGGACAGAGAGCTAGAAACATCCATGAGAGAGAATCATCGATCAGCAGCCTCTTGCACACCCCATACTGGGGATGTGCCCGCAACCAAGGTACATGCCCTTGATCGGAATCGAACCTGGGACCTTTCAGTCCACAGGCCGACGCTCTATCCACTGAGCCAAACCGGTCCCGGCAAATTATATGCATTGTAACCAAGGCACAAGCAAGCGGAGCCTTGGAAATTCCCCTCCTGGGACCTTGTAATGCCGGTGGTCTCAATCCAACATCAAGAAGAGTTCAGAAAATCTGGAGAATGGGCTGTGTGCAAATTAAGTAAGTCCAGAGATGAAACGTAATTTTGAAAGGCATTAGGGCAGGGAGAGGGGGAAGAGGAGCCTGGCTAAAGAAACCAAGCTCTCCTTGTCTCAGAATCCCTTGCTTTTTATTAACACAAATTATCCTAAGGCAAGGTGGAGATATACACATCAAAGGGGAGGGTTAGGTACAGAATCCATTATCAGATTGTGGAATTGCCTTCAGCTGTCCAGGTATTTGGCCAACAGGAGGCAATAACATGTAGATTGAGATGCCCTGAGCTGTCTGGCAGCAAACAATCAATTTATGCACCCCCTTCAGGTTTGGGGAAATGCCTTCCGCCATTCCCAACAGGCTGAGTCCCCAAGCTGAGTCCCCAAGTTCCATCCACCTTTCGGTGAAACTCTTGCAATTACAACGTGCTGGGACTGGCTTTCCGGCAGGCTTGGGCTTCTTCTCCGAAGATCACTGGCAGCGTGTCTCTGATGACCCCTGCTGTGGCCACCCAGGGCAGCTGGCACGTTGGGAAGGAAGAAAAGGAGGCAGCAGAGCGAGGGAGGTGCTGAGAAAGGGGAGGGCGAGGGGCCGGGCCTTGTCCAGTGCCTGCTGGCCAGAGCGGCCGCTCACTGCCCGGTACGGACGTCTACTCCTAAGAGCAGGTGTTGTGGGAGCTATGGGCAGAGTGGAAACATGGCCCTTGGATCCTCAGTGCAGTCAGGACACGAAGCCTGGCGAGGGCAGCATCCCTCTCCCGGGATCTGTGCTTCCTGCTCCCTCTGCAGCCCGGCTTCCCCTGTCTCCCCACGGACAAGGCCCTGTCGTGGCTGCCCTCCGTGGCCGCCTCAGACGAGGGCACCTTCCCGCCCAGCCCTCATGGCTAGTTGACTCCGTCTCTCTTCCCCCGGTCTGGGAACATTTGAATGGTTTTCATCACATCCTCGCAGACACGTAGTTGTTCATGTATTGGTGATGGCCATTCTCAAGGCCAGAGGGTCCGAGCCGTCCCGCCCACAGGCTGTTGGGTAGACGTGTCCTCCGTGGGGAGTGAGACCCCACGGAAAAACGTGGACTGTGCCCTCCTCTCCCCAGGAAACGAGGGAGCTGCCATGAGACGGAAGAGGGGTCATTACCCTTTGAAAGATGTCCTCCCTTGTGTCTGACTCAGAGGAGCCATTTTTCACGTAAAAGGCGAGCTAACGGGGAAATTTCATTTCTGCTCTCTCATAATACAGATTAGAAAGATGAAGAAAAATCTGCCACACGCAATGGGAAAAGCCATTATTCAGACGAAGCGCGACCGGCAGGAGGCCAGCCAGCAAAGAGACAAACCCCAGGCCAGGCCAGGGGCCCCCACAGCGGTTCCCGGGCCTGGCACCCCGGCCTCCAAGTGCCCCCCGAGTTCCCCGGGTCACAGGGGGTCAGCACTCCCACCGCCCCCCGGCGGGCCCTGCGCGTCCCTGCAGACGGGCGCCCTCAGCTCAGGGCCTCACGCGAGTCTATGAAAATGGGCCGTTGCTGTAAGTCGGCAGAAGCGTGTACTGAGTGACAATAATGAAAACGGCGCCGACACCATAATTATTCAATTAGGGGGAAGAGAGATAAGCACCTTTATCTGGCACTTCAGAAAAGTACAGGCCGGAAATTCATCCCAGGATTAGGCAACTCAGATCCCTGCCCCCAACCCCAGCAGCGGCAGCCGCCCTGACTGCCACCCGCTCTGCACAAAGCCCCGTCTGTCTGTCCCCTGGGCATGGCACTCGGCCTCCAGCCCGGTCCCCGCCGCCCCGCCTCCTGCTGGGAAAACTCCGGGGACCGGCCTCAGCTCAAAGGGCCCCTTGTGCAGCGAGCAGCCTCCTCTGCCACCTGCTCCGTCCGCCTGCAGCGGGCAGCCAGGCCGCGCAGACAGAGGCGCAGGGCGCCCTGCTCACGGGAAACTACCTCTCAGGGACCGGGACGTTTCAGAGGCTCTTGCCCGGGGCTCCCGGACTGCAGGTGTCTCAGTGGGACTGGGTCAAGCCTGCTCTGCCTAGACCCACCCCCACTCCCACCCTCACCTGGACTCCTACCCTCA